GGGGGGGGGCATCAGAAACGGGATGCATGTGTAGGTAGGCATCAGGACACCAGGACGAAGGACAAACAGACTCTCTGAACATGGAAAGTGCACGCCACTCATCCGAGCAGCTCACATGGTATTACGGACTCCCGCCACATCCGTTGACGATTCTGTACATGTATTGGGGGTGTTTCTGGCTTGAAAGGCGCACGCTATGCCACCTCTGCGCGCATATCCGGATTTCCGCTAATGACGTTGCCTCCTCAGCTGCCCGTAGCCTATCCCACCTCACCCATCTCCCTATTCCATACGGCCCAACAGTCGCGTACTGTGTACTCTCAGTTGCATGCCTCTTTACCACGGAAGGGACGACGACGATCGATAGATCAGACGAAGCTAACGTGCCAGATGTGCTGTCCTAGACCTGCAGGTCTGTCTGGATTCGCTACCAACTGTACCTCTAACGCCCGCCACGAAAAGCAGTCTTCTAACGGGCAGCTTACATGCCCTTGGACAATTTGCACGTATCACTGCTTCAGAAGCCTTGACCCGAGGTACGATTGGCTAATCTTACAGAGCAATGGCGAATGGGGGCAAGACAGGTGCGTACAGATATGCCGACCCTTGCTTCGATTAGACCCTTTATAGGCTTATTATTGCTCATTAGGGGTCGATTGCACGGTATTAAAGACTCACACTCTCTCAGGTGTAATACTTGTACATATACTCTTCCTACCCCTGTCATCCGTCAAACGAGTTCCAGAAAACACGTCGCACGAGTACGTATACAGTCATACTCCGTCTACGGATGCGAAGATCGCACCACTAATCTGTGGAGCACAGAAGTCACCGAGGAAGAGAAGGGCAAGGGTAGATTGAAGAAGAAGAAGAAGAAGAAGAAGAAGAAAGGGGTGTGTGTGTGTGTGTGTAGAAAGAAGAAAGGACTGAGGGAGATGGAGGTGGGGCGGGGAGGCCGTTGACCCTGATAAGAGCATAAAAGACTGGGCATGCATGTGCCAGAGTTGCCTTTGGTTACACAAGGCCACAAAAAGCATAGGATATATTACTATACTATAGACATCCCCTTGTATGGAGTAGAGTCGATGTCAAAGTACATGTACAGATTACAGATTAATAGTAACGTTTTTTTTTACCCTCCTGGATCCGCCATGTCTTTGTGTAACGTCCCCACGACCACATGTTTCTGCCGGCACATTAGCTAAGACGCGAGCCTTACGTCACAGCAAATTGGAATTGGCCACCTTGTCCCCTTGCCTCAAGAGGGACACCAAACGGAGGCAACCTCCGCTGAGGGTCGACACTTCTGCCGATACGACTGCGTCTTGACGCCGTTCTTTGTATTCACTTGTATTCAAGACCGTTAGCGTGAACGCTCAATGTCAGGAGAGTCGAGTAGGCTCCAGTATCTTGTCAGCTTTGAAGCCATCATCGCCAGCCCCACTACCGCCAGAGGACTACGGATACAGGTATCATGGGAAGGATGGAATGTCAGATCTCCCCAATGTCTGACGATGGCCGAGGCATAGCATAGCGCCTGCACAGATCTGATGACCTATTCTTCCCAGCCACGCAAAGCCGAATCCCTCGCCGATATTTGCTTAGTCAAGGCATCTGCCATGTATTGGCATGTATCGGCAGGCGTACATATACAAGATATTTGTAGAGGGGGAGGTGACGGGGGGTGACGTCAGCCCTCCGTTCTACCACCTGCACATCCTGCGGTCTTGGAAGTGGAGCGCCGCCTCCTGGCTGACATTATCCAAGACTTCCAGGAGCTCCTTGCCGAGGCTTTCACGCTGCGCGCCGGTCGGGCCCGTTCGCGCAGGAACCTGAAATACCCCTCGGCCTTGTCGTATACCGCATCCGCCTCGTCCTCAGCCCCCAGTCTTCAGCAGCGAGATCTTGGGGCAGGGGAGGAACCGCGTCTCCTCCGTGCTGTCATGCAGGCCCGCGACGACGATGCGGTCGATACCCTCTCGCTTCTGTGCCTATGGGTGACCCGAACCGGGAAGCCCGACGGGAAGCCCGACGGGCAGCATCAGACCAGACCCATATGTACTCTTCGGGCGTGCGGGGACCCGACCCGCTGCTCCTGTCCTCGGTTGAGGATTTAAGAGATAGTGGTCGGGCAGGGGGGGAGATGGGCTCCTCCATCGCCACCCGGCCAGATGCCGCTCTCGTTTGACTCGCTTTCAGAGCCGATATCGCTCAGCAGCGCGCCAGATCGACGGTTCTCGCCTGATTCTTCCCGGGACGAGCTGTTCTGGTCCACATCTCCGAGTATTCATCGTCCTCATGCCTGATGGATATGGGCTCGTCCTGGTAAAGGCTGCCGGGGTCCGTTGTCCTGCATGGGAGATGTTCATCTGGAGTCGGATAGGAAGTGAAGTTCTTGGGCATGAAGTTTTGCCGATGCTGTTGACCTTGCTGCAGATGGCGGTTTGCACGGCTGGAAGCAGACGAGGTATGCTGCAGTCCTTGTATAACGTTCCGTCGCCTGTCTATCTGCGCTGCACATTAACGACACTGCTCTGCATGATGTCGGCAGAAGAACCACGGTCCAACATGCTTGCTCTTGCTGGCTGGGACATGCGGGCCTTGATACCCTCTCCTGTTCTGTTTCATCACTACGATGAGCTTTTCCGTATGAAAACCGGAAAAGGGCCGTTGCGTTTTCAGCCTTGACGATCTGCAATCGGGGATCTCACCTCTGTTCAGCGTACCGAGGGCGCATCAAGACTACGCTTTCTACCCTGCCAGCACAGGAGGACTTTTATAGACGATCAAACGACAAGAGCCGCTTGCTGCTACTTCTTGTGCCCCAAACGGTCATCAAAGGCGGCTGAGTACGGTTTCGTTACGTGCACTACCTCTCCGCTCTGTAAGATCTATCATATGACAGTCGTCTGCAGTAACCGTCTTTTCCCACCGTATACGTGTCGCAGCAGCAGAAGAAGGAGTTATCTGACGTCTCTCACGATAGGTATTGAGGATCGTATGAATATCTTGACGCGGGCAACGAAAGCAGGCGTAAGGGTGTGTATCAACCTTGCCCTCCTCTCTCTAGATCTACCAACTTACCCGTATCAATACTTGTCTGTACCTCTACCTCTAGACCATAAACCCTCATCGAGACTTGTGGGCTGTTGCCGACGCGGTCTCAACCTTTGTTCGTAGCAACCTTTGATGGCACGGACTGAGGCGTGCATACACAGCTGGTCACATGTCCGATTGAGATAAACTTGGATTACCACGCGAGGCCCTGATGCTCTTGCCTAGGCCAGACAAGGCGCGACCTTGCCATGGAGCCAAGGCTGTCGGATGTGAATGTCATGACAAGTTCTGCCATCAACAACTCATAGGTAACAGCCCTCGGTGATATCGCAGTTCCAGACAACTCGCCAGCTTGTGCGATAAGCTTCCCGTCACCCTGTGAGAAGGCCGATGCCGTGCAATGCACCACCAGCCCACGCCAGCTGCAGATGAGTACGTACATACAACTGAACCAGCCCTTTCCCTCGTCTCTTTACTGCACCATTTGTGATGGTCTCAAGCTTCTTCCAGTCAGCTTCCCCCATAGGCTAACTGGTGTCACGCAGACGATAAAGACGAGGATGAACCACATCCGGAAACAGCCACGTACCTCGATATGTATATATATATTTGAAAATACTACTAATGGGAGTGTAACTGCGAAGCTTCCTCTTATCAACCAGTGACTAGCTGACGTGGTTGGAGAGGTTTAGGGTGATGTGGACTTAGAAGCCTTAGGGTTACGCACGCGATACGCCCCAAATCCATATCATTACCTACCCTATTGTATATATAATACAGGGATTCGTTATTTTTTTCTCGCCTTCATATCAGGTTCAACAAGGGTATCGTCATCGAGTGAATCATATAGATACAGTCTCTGGGGACCTGATCAGTGGCATCAGAGCCCAGGAATCAGAGACTCTGTCAGAAAATCATTGGCGAGACGTCTGAGCTGTTGTCGCGTGCAGGCATGAACGATGAACGAGGTGAGGAGAGAGAAAAATAAGAGCCATGTCGTTATCGCGGTGAGCTGATTGTTGGCGCCCACGTCCGCTTCCGAGACCGCAGATTACGTATATGCACAGTACCGCGCCGTACCATCAGGCGCATTCGAGGGAGCTGGTCGGCCGTCGCGAATCCCCGTCTGCGCTCCTCGGCGCGCGCACACTCAGACGTCACACACGGACAAGAATTCAGCTGCTCAAGTGCTTGCGAGAGCCCTTCTCATATGCATGAGAGACTTGGCAAGCATGCCTCGTATATTACCCGTACCCGTACAAGTGCAGCGAGGATCTCGTTGGGGAACGTTGGCTCGAGTGGCTTTGTGAGCGTTCCTCCTCGTCCACCAGGCGGGATGGTATCTCCTTCATCCCTACCCTTGCCCCCCGCTATCACGAGGTGGGAACAGAGGCAGGATGGCCAGCCAAGGCCCACCCTCTTGGCAGCGGTCCGCGGACATCGGTTTACCTGGGTCTACGTGCGAATCTGATGGCTGGGGCCGGCCGGCCCGGGGTTTTGAGGAGCAAGAGCCACAAGGTGGGCCTCTAGGACAGCTCTCCGGTCTATCGCGTCCAGGATCGATACATGGTCTTGTCTCTGTATGACTATCTGTCTGGCCGGCGGCACTTGAATTGCTGGCGTTGTCTCTGCATACATGTTCAAGGGACGGTAGTTGGGAGAAGAAGAAAAGAGACTCAAATGACGGAAACGGATGTTCCTCCTTGTAGGCTCTCCCTCTTTGAATGGCATCCCTTCGAAGAGAAGAGTTCTCGGGGAAATAAGGGGGAAGATGAGGTGAGATGGAGAGACAGAACAGAGAGAGAGAGAGGGATAGAGGGATAGAGGGATAGAGGGATAGGAAAAAAGAAGAGTCAAAGGGTGAGAAGCAGCAGACGAGAGATGAAAAGAAAGAAAAGAAAGAAAAAAAGGAAGAACAGGTGGAACAGGTGGAGCAGAGGAGGACAAAACAAGTGAAAGATCGACGGGTACGCACGGCCCTTGGCCGGGCATGACGGCCACCGGATGCAAGGGTGGAGCCGCCAGCGAACACGGCGTATTATTACTCGTACATACATGGTGATTTATCAGTACGAAGGGCGCCATATTGTGAATGGGTAGTATCATGAAGGGTCTCTGAATGCTGGGACAAATGATATTAGCTCTTCGATATGTGCTCGTACGCAGGCAGCTAGCCCGTCTTCCCTCCTCTTTCCCTCTCTTCCGGCTCCAAGAAGAGAACATCAAAGGAACAAGTCAAGAGCCCCTTGACCGCCGACGATTGAGGAGGCTCTCTATGTGACCCTTCTCGTATCTATAAGCGCGCGCAACGCCGCACGTTCCTTTGAGAAAGGATAATACGGCACGCGACGATGAGAGCGAGAGACCTGAGCAGAGAGCGAATACTACTTGATGAAAAGGAAAAAAAAAGGTATTATAAGGCTAGACCGAAAAAAAAAAGGATATGATGATGAAAAAAAATTGAATAAAAGAAAATATAACTGGGCCCCGAGGGCACACGCAATGGCCCGTTGCATGTGGTGGTGGTTCGGATATGGGCTCAGACATTGTCGTATAAGTTGGCTTGGCTTGCAGGGCGGGCGCCCCCCCCCCCCCACCACATTGTCAACCACGACAACAGAATCAGGGACTCAGAGTCGAGATAATAAGACCGAGCATGTATGTCTGTCCGTCGCAAATGAGACCAGCATAGGAAAAGCTCTTCTCCTCCCTCTCACCTCGCCGTAGTAGCATGCACCGGCGGGTCCCGAGGAGCGACAGGTACGAGCATTACAACGTGTATACCATGTAATGGATACCATGTAACGATGATACCGAGATGGTACTGCTAGCATGTATTGCAGCTGGACTCGGATGCAGAGCACATGGGCGAAGCTCAATCTGGTAACAAGCCAAGCCGTACCGCAGCACACGAGGATCAAGACCTGCTTGCTGATCACACATGATAAAATCATTCACTTCCCTCTGGCCGTGCTGCCGTACGTCAAAGGCCAGGGTGCAGCTTATTATCGTGTTTCACAGGGTGGATGTGGATGTCGGTGTGAAAGCAAGCCGAGAAGGAARAARAARAAAARARAARAAARMAAAAAAAAAAAAAAAAAAAAAAAAAAAARAAAAGGATGCAGGCTTGCGGCCAGGGTGTGTGATGGCGGGAAAGGGTGATCGTGTCTCTGACCTGTGCCCTGTGCTGCCTGTCCACTTGGCTGAGGCAGATGATGATGATGATGATGATGATGGGGAAAAGAGGAGTACCTAAGCTTTCCATGGGCTCGTATATCTTAAGAAGACGCCGCACCGTAACATCAGGCCGAGTTTACCTCGACAGACTTCAGCTGTGCCCGACAGCCCTCTCTCGTTCGTTTTATCTCTTATATATCCCCATCGTCTCCCTCATACACAGTACATCCTCTTCTCTCGCTAGATACTCTCTTGTCCCAGTCCCTCGCTCTTCCTTCTCCCCATCCCCCCTTGCACGCTGATCGATATATCCTCTGCCTGCCCTCCGTTCCTCACCCACCTCACACCAGCATCGTCATCATCATCATGATGCTCTCTATCATGAAGAGTCTCCTGGTCACGGCCGCCGTTCTGCCGCTCACTGCTCTGGCCCAGCCTCAGATCATTACTATCACGGCTACTGCCGACAACAAGTTTGAGCCTAACAGCATCATCGCCAACGTCGACGACATTCTCGAGTTCTACTTTGGCAAGGGAAACCACAGTGTCGTCGCAGGCAGCTACAAGAAGCCCTGCACCCCTCTAGAGTACCCGGCCGGCTTCTTTTCCGGCTTTGTCGACCACGTTGACGATCAAGATGTGAGTCTCCATGTGTTTCTTCCTCTTTTCCTTCCCTCCCTCCCTCCCTCATCACTGTTGAAGATAGAAGGGGAAGAGAGAAGACGAGAAGAAGAAGAAGAAGAAGAAGAAGAAAAGAAACTGCTCTCTTGATTCATCTGAGCTTGCTCGGTTGCTGACTCGACAACGCCATATGCAGGCCACCGTCTTCCGCGTCCAGCTCAACAACAGCGATCCCATCGTCTTCTACTCCTCCGTCGAGGACCAGTGCCCCAAGGGAATGGTGGGCATGGTCAACGCACACGGCAACATGACGCTCGAGACATACGAGAAGACGGCCAAGTCGCTGCCGGAGGGAACGAGCCCACCCTTCAGCGTCGGGCTGTACGGCGGTCACTTCGCCTCGGCCGACGTCATCGGCACGCACGATGAGGACGACGGCAACGTCAACGACGGCAGCGACAGCCCTGGCAGCAAGACCGGCTCGAGCGTCAACGCCTTCACCGGACTGAGCGGCGGGAGCGTCATCGAAGCGCCGGGCCTCTACTGCCTGGTCGCTGCCGCCTTTGGATTTGTCTACCTCGTGGTATGACGGAGGAGCTCTCGAGCTTCATCTTTCAGCGATTGCAGTCTTTCCCTTCCCTCCTTTCGCGCTCTTACCCGCTGCTTCATTTCCTTTCCCTATTATCCGTCGCGATGCGATATACCATTGACGCGTCCCATCACGACAACCCGACTTCTCCTTTCCGTTCCTTATACGCTTGGAAGTAATGTCTATTACTCTATTCTTGTACATATTTGACCCTGTACCTTCCCTTCTCTTATCTTACATTTTATTCTACCTCTTTTTATTTATTTATCCACCTCATAGAAATATTACATCAAATTCTTGATTGACCGAGTATAGATCTCCAACCGTTATCGATCTCAGGGGCATGCCGTATGGAAGGCTTCTATTTGGCGAGCAAGTTGCGGTAACTCGAATAGCACCACCAACGTGCGAGGAGTTGGACGGAATGACTTACGTATCTGCTAATTCATGGCAGCCTATATAAAAAAGCGCATAGGATATCAGTGAGGTCAGTATAGCTGTTCATCTATATTCGTCTAGATGGATGAAAGCCACTCTGAGCGTGGCACCCAAGATTGTATATGACTGAGCAGCATAGAGGCTGCTGCCACACTCACATCTATAGACAACCTCACAGATAGATCTCCTTTCCTTGGAATCGAGCACGAAGACAGACACCCATCAACTCAGGACGTGCCAGTAGACAGAGACCGCTGTATTCACGTCTACGGGTCTTCATCGTGTGCTGTCGCCAGCAGGAAGCACATGAGTTCTGGTGCAGGGTAATTAATACCCTCGGCAACTTCTGGGGACCGATTCGATGGGGTAATAGAGAAAGAAAGGGAAAAAAAAAGGGAAAAAAAGAAAAAAGAAAAGACGGTAATAATAATATTACAAACAGCGCCTCGGCAAGTCACCGGAGCAAACCCGGCATCTGTCTTCTGGCATTCCACCGTCAAGTGCTTATCGGCAATTCCTGCCAACTTCAAACCCGCACATACTGCACACTATTCTCACTGCGACTCTACGCTCCGGCTCCCGCAACGCACGTGCAGGGAACGGGGGAAGAACAGGTCACGACGATAGTAATATGCGCAACACCGCCTGATTCAAACAAAAAAAGAAACAACAACTTTGGACAGGAGACGCAAGCGAATCAGACACGATCATGCGCGGGGGTGGCGTCGGCGCAGGAGCCAGGGCCCGGCAGCTCTGCAGGGCTCACCAAAGCGGCAATTACCTGATCCATATGCGCCGGGGAGTCAGGGCCTGCATCGGGATCGGAGCGAGCAGCAGCAGCCGGGCAGTTGCTACGAGCAGCCGCCACGGTCCGGCGCTTGTCCGGGCTGGGACGAGAGTGAGAGCGGCAGCGGCAGCGGCAGCGGCGCCGCGGCCACGGACCCTGGCCACGACGGTAGCCGACACGCCGGGCGGGCTGGGACCGCTGGAAGAGTACGACAGACGGGTACACCTCGGCCTCCTCAACAACGACGAGCACCAGCGCGGCATCATCGAGAGCCTGCAGCACATGCACGACGAGCTGCGCAGGTACCACGCGCCGCCGGTGGTGTACCCCAGCGTCGATACGCTCAAGGGCAAGTCGGGCAGGAAGGGGGGCTTCCTGTCGTCGCTGTTTGGCGGCGGAGGCCGCGGAGGCGGCGGGTCCTCGTCGCCGGGCGCCGGCGAGTCCATACCGGAAAACCTGCCCCGCGGCTTGTACCTGTACGGGGACGTGGGCAGCGGCAAGACGATGCTCATGAACCTGTTCTACGATACGCTGCCGGCGTCGGTGCGGACCAAGACGCGGATCCACTTCCACAACTTCATGCAGGATGTGCACCGCCGTCTGCACAGGATGAAGATGGAGCACGGGAGCGACGTGGACGCGACGCCCTACGTGGCCGCCGAGATTGCCGAGCAGGGCAACGTGCTGTGCTTTGACGAGTTCCAGTGCACCGACGTGGCCGATGCCATGATCCTGAGGAGGCTGCTCGAGTGCCTCATGTCGCACGGCGTGGTGCTGGTGACGACGTCCAACCGCCACCCGGACGAGCTGTACAAGAACGGCATCCAGCGCGAGTCCTTCATCCCGGCCATCACGCTGCTCAAGACGCGGCTGCACGTCATCAACCTCGACTCGCCGACCGACTACCGCAAGATCCCCCGCCCCGCGTCGGGCGTGTACCACACCGCGCTGGACGCGCACGCCGAGTCGCACGCCCGGAAGTGGTTCGAGTTCCTGGGCGACCCCCGCGAGGCCGCCAGGTGGCCGCCCCGGTCCGAGGTGCAGACCGTCTGGGGCCGCGACATACTCGTGCCCCGCGTCAGCGGCCGGTGTGCCTGGTTCACCTTTGACCAGCTGATCCGCCAGCCCAAGTCGGCCGCCGACTACCTCGAGCTTGTGCGCCACTACGACGCCTTCATCGTGACCGACGTGCCCGGCATGAACATCCAGCAGCGCGACCTGGCCCGCCGCTTCATCACCTTCATCGACGCCGTCTACGAAGGCAACGCCAAGCTCGTCCTCACGGCCGAGAAGCCCCTGAGCGAGCTGTTCGTCTCGCGCGACGAGATTGCCGAGTCCCTCCTCAAGCACGACCAGGACACCAAGGACAGGGAGGCGGCCGCCGTGGCCGTCGCCGGCGGCAGCATCTCCGACGCCCAGGCCAGCGTCGAGAAGCTCAAGAACTCGGACCTGTTTGCCGGGGAGGAGGAGGCCTTCGCTTTCGCTCGCGCCCTGTCTCGCCTGAGTCACATGGAGAGTAAGGAATGGGTGGAGAGGGGCATGGGTCTCGAGGCCAACGGCGGCAAGCAGGACAAGGAAAATTGGTCCAAGACGAGGAGTCGGCAGTACGAGGATTCGAGGTGATGCCACCGTCGACTCTCCTACTTTTCATGTCTCCTTCACGACCAATTTGACTTGACGGAAGAAAATCCCCTCTTTTTTTTTTCTTCTCTCTTCTTCCCTTGTATAGAAACGAATTCCAAACTCCTTTGCATGTGAGGGCACCAATATTTAGAAGCACATAGCCGACGGAGAGATGTCTTCCTTTCCTCCCTCTGCCCCTTCTATCTCCTTCCGCCCTCAATTCCGAGACAACCTATAGACTGTAATTGCACATTGTTGCGTGGGGAGACTGTTGACTATTACCCTATAATCCCACCAGCGGAAGAAGCGGCATTTCCTGTTTTTGAGACAAGGCAATCGACGGCAGGGAGCTTACTTTGAATCTGTCAAGATAATTCCGTGCGCCTGACTATTGTTATTTTTTTGAGACAAGCCAAAACCATGCATCTAGTTGGGAAAGAGCTCTGAATCGTTCGAATAGCAGTGAACACGTATTGTGAGTATTTCAGTGAGGCACAGGCAATTGAGATTAATATATCAACAAAAACTTGAGAGACACGACGGAGCCAAGCCAACACGGTAAAAATAGTTGCAAACGCCCGAGATGATCTAGTATCAAGTCAACTCAAGATAGACTGGTCATTTGGAGATTGACGTGTGGATTAGATAGGATGGATCCATTGATCAAATCAGTATGTGAGCTCAATGATGAGATGGTAAACGAGATTTTCTATGTGTTGCTGTTCATCTATTCTGGTATTGATACAAGCACTCGAAGCGAGTCAAACAGGGCGTTCCCTGAGACCGGCAATCAAGGTCAAGGTTCCTCTCCACTACTGGTAATAATATATACATGAGATCTATACGAAGCACACTTTTTTCCTTCTTCCCTTTTCTTTTTTTTTTTTTTTGGTCGTCGCTCCTTTTCTCTTCCTTCGGAATAAGACATTCAACCATATTTCAAGCCACTGCTATCCTACCTCCATCCACTCCTTCTTTGTCTTGCCTCTCAATCATAGCCTTCTCCTTTCATATAAGGACCTTGACGGTGGAGGCCTGGCTAGGAACACCATCCTCACCGAGGACGAACAGCATCCAGTAACCGGGAAGAAGGATACCCAGATCGTCCGGCAGCTGGGCGGTATACTCATTGCTGCCGGACTTGGCCTTGAGGGAGAGGGGCACACGGCGCTGGTCCGTGTTGATGGAGTGAGTGGCGGTGCCGTAGCGGATGAGCGAAGCGGTGGGCTTGACGGGGGAGCCGGTGGCGATGGTGAGCAGGTCGCCGGCGTGGACCTCGGACTGGACGGACCTGATGACGGGCCGGGCGGCGCGGTTCCCGTCCCGGTCGAACAGGTAGCTGGGGGTGTAGATCTGGGCGTCGAAGTGGTTGGCATCGCAGTCGCCGCAGAGGCCGCCGCCGCCGTTGAAGACGGTGCCGTCGGGCAGCAGGAGGGCCATGCTGTGGTAGGTGCGGGGGATGGTGTTGGGCTGCATGTCGGCGAAGGTGTTGGAGAGCGGGTCGTACATCTCCGGGGTGTACTCGGGCGTGGTGTCGGTGAAGGGGTAGCTGTAGCTCTGGCCGCCGGTGATGAAGACGGTGCCGTCCGGCAGGGCGACGGACGAGTGGAAGACGCGGCGGTAGTGCATGTGGCCCGACCCGCCGCCCGCGAGCGTCAGGTTTCTGGACCCGCCGCCCGCGAGCGTCACGCTGGACCGGCTGCCCGGCTCGCCGATGGTGACGACGTGGGCGTTGGACGTGGCGTTGTGGTACCGGTACCAGGGGGAGCCGCCGACGGTCAGGATCTTGCCGGCCGTCGCGTCGTACATGGTCGCGTGGCCGCACATGCTGTCGTCGTCGTCGGCGCGGAGGCCGGCTGACGACACGTTCCCGTCGCCGGACGTGTAGTACCAGTTCATGGCCTTGCTGGGGCCGGCCTGGTACACGGTGCCGTTCTTCCAGCCGAACAGCCAGGCGTGGTTGTCGGCGCGGTAGATGCCCTCCTTGTCGGCCGTCAGCAGCGGCGTGGAGTCGGTGCCGTTGAGGAAGGTCCACCGGTTGGTCTGGCGGTCGTAGATCTCGCCGTTCTTGACCTTGCGTTCGCCGCCCCACGACCCGCCGATGGTGAAGACGCGCCCGTCCGAGCAGGTCGCCGACGACTGGTAGCCCCGCGCGACCACCATGTCCGGCCCGGAGATCCAGCTCTCGGTCTCGGAGTCGTAGAGCGACGTCCGCTCCGCGTCGCTGCCCCCCGACACGACCACCTGGCCCTGGTCGTCCATCGAGATGCCCGGGCAGAACATGTCGTGGCCGGTGTTGCTCACGTTGCGCTCCGAGATGTCCCCCGTGTACGGGTCCCACGTCGACGTCAGCGTGTAGCCCCCCGGCGACACCTTGAAGTTGTCCTTGAGGAAGGCCGACCACACCACCACCTTGTGCGTCAGCGGGTCCACGAACCCGGCCACGGGCACGATGGGAAAGTCGAGCGTAGGACCCCACTTGCCGAGGGAGACGTCGACGGGCGCCGCCGCCGTCTCGGGCTTGTAGATGTTGAGCTCGGCGATGCTGGCCGTCGCGTTGCCGGCGCCCGAGCTGATGGCCACGAGGCGCACGTACCGCACGTTCTCCGGGTTGAAGGACGACACCTTCATGGTCGCGTCCCAGTACCAGTTGCCCATCGCCACCGGGTCGCTCCACGTCTTTCCGTCGTTGCTGACGAGCACCAGGTGGCGCGATATCCGGCCCACGGCGCTGCCGTCCTGGCGCGGCTCGACCGACAGGCCGCTGACGTACTGCTGCGTGCCTAGATCCACGGTGACGTTGTGCGTCAGGCCGATGTGGGTGCCGTTGGGCGCCGGGGCCAGCCAGAAGGTTGTGTTGTCGCCGTCCACCAATTTGCTGCATTCGGTGCCCTTGGCCTCGGCGTCACACGTCACCCTCCAGCCGGAGCGGTCGAGGGTGTTGCCGGACGGGGTGGCGGCCAGCATGGTGAAGTTTGTAGGGTTCTTCTCCTCGTCCACCTGGAACGCCTCGATCGAAGGCTCCGAGTAGATCTCTATGGTCGCAGGCAAGGCACTCGCGTGCTGCGCGAGTTGGCCGAGAGCCAAGGCACCGATGGCGCCGCATGTCCGCAGCTTCATGATGGAATAGACGAGAGAATTCTCCCCCCCCAAAAAATAAGTAAGATTGCCAAAATGAATAGATTTGAAATGAATGGAACAGAGAAGCAGACAAGCTACTCAGGTAAGAAGTGAGTGTAACCGAGTGGGAGACAGAGAGAGACGAGAGCCTGAAGAATTGACAGAAGAGAGAGAGAGCGAGAGTGAGAGAGAGAAGACGTTGGCTCCTTCTTGTACTCAGATCCCGGGTCTTAGAAGCCTTCCCGGTATCTGCAGGTCGATGCACGTCGGTGGCGCCTCGATCCCGGACGGATCCACGACTGCCTCTCACAGAAGGCGGTCGACCACTTTGTTGGACGCTGCGGTGCGCTGGCAACTTCTTCCCTCGCACATGTACGTTGTGTGCGTTGGGCCGATATCCGGCCTTTCCAGGCTAAACGATCGTGGGACGACATCCCGGCGCTACAGACCATGGTGATACCCGTCAACCACGTTGCCCTACGGGTGTTTGTGTCAGGGGAAGGGGACGGATCGCATGCTGCCTGCTCGACTCTGCCGTCTGGGTCTGATGAGAAGAGAAGGGATCGGCGCATGTTCATTCAGCTCCTCTGCCAAGAGTGTCCCCTATTCCCCATGTTGGAAATCTCTCTCTCGTTTCAGGCGTCGTGTAGGTTGTACGAGTAATGCCGTACTACTACTGCGGACGCCCCTCCCCTCCCCCCCTCCCCACCAAACTAATCCAGGAGCAAGCCCAGACTAGGCGTTTCGACTGTCATACTTGGGACGACTGTTCGAATCAGGTTTCCCCAAGGAACCCGTAAGGAACTTCGAATACGAACGAGGCAGATGACGCCGTACCCTAGTGCAAGCTCCCCTGCCATATCAATAAGGGCAAGAAGGAAGAAGAAGAAGAAGAAGAAGGAAGGTGTATAGGCGCCGGACTTGTCATTCTTTTGTTCTCTGTCCATATCAAGCCACGCCCAGCAGAACCTTTCGACAGGTTGCATCCCAAGCCGGACAGAGAGCCATCAGGGCCGGAGCGAATCTGCAGCGGACAGCCTGTGCGCCCTCAGGACGGAGACATCGACCCGCCATGGAAACCAACTGCCGACAAAGACGTGAGGACGAGGCCGATTGTTCATCGACACGCAGGTCCCGTCCTCTTGCCATCGACCGCAAGAGATAGGCTGGATGGATTGGTACTGGTTAGCTTGGGCGCCGGCGCTTACTTGCTAGGAAAAATACTCCCTACAGGCTACTCGGGGAATCCGAATCCATCCACAGTGGAAAAGAGAAAAGAAAGAAAAAAAGAAAAAGAAGAAGAGGCTCCACTTTTAAAAAAAAAGAAAAAACAAGCCAAAAACAAAACAAGCTTGATCTTGTTTCTTCCTTCTTCCTTCTCCCCACACACCCCCCCCCCTCCCCTCGGGACCACCCTTCCTGGCTTACGAGTTACAATAGTACCGTCATACATGTATGCGTGCGGCCATTTGCGGCCATGCTTCTCTCTGCATATTCTGTCAAGGTGCTGCAAGGCGGATCTGGAAGAAGAAGGAGAAGAGGAGTGAAGGACTCCTCTAGTGAAGGCCAGTGTTGAATTATGCAACCCTATCCCATGCGTGTGGCTATGGAGAAGAAGCCATTGGAGGCTATTGGCGTCGCCCGTTGGTTGGTTTAATATAGCGTATGACGCAGGTGAGGACCTCAGGGAAGAGAAGATTGAAGGAGTGGGGGGGGGGAGGGATCGTGGATGTAATGATAGTAGTGTTATAATACGTCGTGTGATACGGCAACTTTGTTGGACTGCTAAGAATAATGTTACTGCAGATTACAGAGTACAGAGCACAGAGTAATATCCGTACAGATTACTCGTACATGCATGTACGGAGTTATACGGAGGCCGGCCACGTGTGATAGTGTCAGTCCGTACTGTAATATCATCGTCATCTCCTGTCGAGTCACGTGTGTCTCATTCGATACAAGATCACGTGCAACCCTGGATCGATCCTGTTGGATTCGTCTTCTGTCTGCTGGTAAGCAGTGCATATTGCCATGCATTCGCCATCATGGCCATGTGCTGATTAGATCCGTCGTATCCCACCTGTATAGACGTGTGACCAGCCAAACGGCTCAACTCGGCGGTACATATCTGGACCGGGATATCTGAATGAGGCCGTGACCGGGTCGTCCTACGTACACATTGTATGTATGAGGCTTATGAGCACACGAGTATCACCACGAGGACTCGTATTATTATGCCGTACTACTCGTACCCGTGGGAAAATACACGTAAAAAATGACAAGAATTAGAGATGATTTATGGGCCATTCTATTATAGGCATTTGCTACCTGCTGGGTGCGGTGCGAAATGGCTCCTCTTTTTATTTCCATCTTTATTTTTATTTCTATCTCTTTATTTTTAGCTAGATGCCAAATACTGCATATTCGTTCAAGGCTTATCCTGCCATCTTCTACCTGGTACTATCCAATACTTCCATATACATCATCATCATCATGCTCCGCCATTCAGCTCCTGTAAACTCCAGTCGACCCGACTCGGTTCCGTCGACCGGTCGTGGCGTGTCCAAGGCGTGTTGAGTAAAACGTCGGGACTCCCTTTGCGCTAAAGATGCATGCCACGATAGGCCATCACCCGGACCATGGTTCCGCGAGTCATTGTAAGGCGATGAGACATAGCCGTTGGGTCCAGAGGTAAGGGTAAGGCAGTACCAGTCTATCGGGAGGAGCACGAGTGTTGTAGATAGACGGTACTCACGCCTTGATCAGGAACGGAAGTAGCTCTTCGGCAACGTATAATCGGGCCTGCTTCCACGATGGAAGAATCGGCTGTGTCCGGACGCCGTTGAGCTGATGGTACGAGAACTTCCGAGGACGAATGCCGCCCGTGCTTCTGTATATCATGGAGCAGCGTCTGTCCGCAGCATGTAATCGTCGGAATCTTCCGCCGTGGCCTTGTCCGTGACTGTTACACTCTCACAATGATATTGGTTTCGTCCAAGTCTTCTCTGAAGAGAAGGAGCACAGGTGTGGATTCACTTCGACCTCTTCTGCTTCGCTTTCGGGGGGCATCGCAGCGGTTGAAGGTATTGGGGGGGAGGAAGGGGAGAGATCAGGTTGACGTCCTTTGCTGTTTCGTTGCTTGACATACGGCCAGTACATCGCAGCATAGCAGCTTCTATCCCGCGCGTGGCAGCCCGAGCTAGAACGCGACTAGATTCAGGGAGAGTCAGGATCATCACGGCACATGTCTGGCCTCATATGCAAGACGCAGCTGGATGATACCACTCTGCTCGTGCGAGTACATGCATCTCCAAGAGATACCCTCAAGAGACGTCCTCTAGATATGCCCTTGGGGTATGAACAAAGCAATCAAGGGCCACGCAGAATGCCTGAGCCGTGATAATTTCATCTCGTATTTGATGCTGGCTTCGCCGTGCGTCCCGTGGGGTGCGGCGTACGAGTAAAACGTACGGCGTGCTGAAAGGGCGGCCGGAAGAGTCGAGAGCAACAAACGGGTACAGCGGGGTTGGTGAGTTGAGTACTCGTACACTACGAGCAATACTAGTTGTGCTACTGTAGCATGGATACGGATAGCAGCAGTTGTAGTACTAGTGTCCGTGCTGGTAGTACTAGACTTGTGTGCGTCAAAAGTGTCTCTGGGTACCCATAGGTAGATCCATGTTTCATGTCTCTGTCCTAGCGCCACCGAGGGCGCTGCCAGACGGCCGGTCGGGCACAGGTCGGTCATCCTGGTTCGCAACTCGTATTATGGGGCCACCCGACCAGCAAGTGCCAAAGTGCCAAGTGGAGGCCCCAAGGAGAGAAAAACATGGCCGAACGACACCAAGGAACAGAGCTAACCGAGGAGCAGAGCTAACCGAGGAGCAGAGCTAACCGAGGAGCAGAGCTAACGGAGTAGTGGCGTTCGAGAACTGGCGTAGAAGGCAGGAAACAATGGGGAGGCAGGTTGACAGCTTGACAAGTTGACAGTTCGAGACCGGTGCCCAGCACGTCGGTAGAAACGTGTGATATCATCATGCTGCACGGACCATGGGTGTTAGTAACGCACTCGTACTATCAGGTAATAGATAATACAGTCAGTCGTACAGGGGGACATGCATGGGGAGAGTCATGCTCATAGATACCCGTACTCATCGTTCTTGGAGACTCGGAGAGAGAGAGGCACGGGCCCGAACGATGACGACGATACGAATGGCGCAATATTACGGGCTACTCTAGGAGACAGTTCTCGTAATCATCTGATAGCATGGTCTGATGAGCGCCAAGGACAATTTAATCGTGGCATGACGATTAATGGGAACCGCGAATCATTCACGTCGTACTGTGATCATGGGCATGATGCAAGAGGGGAAAAAAAAAAGGAAAGAATAAAAAGAAAAAGAAAAAAAGACGCGTGTGATAAGGGGGGGGGGAGAATAATAATACTCCGTATATGTAAGATGGATGGGGAAATGGGATTGTGGGATTGTACGAGTAGGGAAACACTTCATAAAATTCATAATGTTCTAGTACGGTGGCGGTGGTGATGGTGTGGGGCAGACGGAAGGTGCGAGCAAGGGTAGCAATTTCCCCTGGGAGGGGGATGAAGTCCAAGGCCAATGATATGCCTCATGGCCAATCTGAACCAATGACAGGCCTGGTCCGGCCTGCATCGGGGCGTGCTGATCTCTATCTTAGCGTCAGGAACTCAGTGGCTACGGAAGCCAGGCACGGCGGGTACAGCATGCATACAGGACGCATCCCCCCAGTAGTAACAGGCGCAGATACTCCGCTTGTATCAATAAGAGGACAATCATAAGGGGCGGATGGGGGGCCTTCCTGCTCTCTCAGGGTGAGAATAGGGGGGAACATGCATATGAAGCGCTCTCGCTATTACTGTGCCTGATAGCCTGTACGAGGTCTCTCGTACGCTGGAATCACTGTACAGGCGCTTCATACTCCTCGTGATACCTCCGTACATCCACTGTAATCTGTAGATACCCCGTAATGCCTCACACTTCTCCATACGCATAGTTATTGCTGGTACTGTCATTGTGATCATAATTACTTCGTGCATACGAGTAGTAATAACATTCGTGATACTATTGCTCGTACAGCACGCGTTCTCTGTAATCTTTACCTCACTGCCCTGTCCATCCCAAAGGCACATCCCACGGACCTGCAAGGGTGAGCGTACATCCCTGTCAAGTTCCTGCCGTTCCTCCTCCCTAGTGCAGCCTGGTGGTTCGTAATAGTAATACTGCTCGTGCCTACCCATACACGCTGCACTTCCTCCTGCTGCTGCTTCTTCTTCTCTATCATCTATCCCCCCCCCCCCTCTCCATCCCTTCTCTTTTCCCTCGCAAGCCTTTGCGCCACTTTCCTTTACCTCCCTCACCACCCAGCTAGACTGGCCTCTTGCGTGCGTGTGCGTTACGACTTTCGCCGCAGAGACGGTATCGAAAAATCCGGAACAGAAGAAGAAAAGGAAACGAAACAGAGGGTCCCTTTCTCTTTCTATTCGCCCGGCCTGCGGTTGGCAGTGTCCATTCGTTCCTTTCTCACTCTACCACGACTCCGACCACGGACTCTCTTGAGAGATAGCGCCGGGGACTTCTTTCTTCTTCCATCTTGTCATCTTGCTCAAAGCTTGACAGCCTTCCTTCGCTTTTCTCCATATCTTCAACCGAGTGACACGTTGGGCATCCTCTTCCCGACTCCCGGCTGTTTCCGCAACAGCTCGACGTTTCAACATTCCAGCTCCGACACGTTGACCACCACCACGTTTTCTCGGCTCTTGCGCATTTGCAACTGCGGCTGTAGTTGATTGAAGTAGACGGCTTATCCTTTCTTCGCTCACTTGCTCACTCTCTACGGCTTTCTCTCATTCACTTGGCCCTTTTGCATTTATCGATCTGATCGGCTCATCTGTCATCACTCGTTTGTTATTCGTTCTTTATATCCCCATCTGGGCAGATTGTCTGTCCTTATCTTCATCATGCCGATCTCACACAGGCATGCGCATCGCGAGCGTAGCCTCGGCGAAGCCCTTGCCGAATCATTCGAGCATGCCATTCGGCGTGATCACAACGTGGAGGAGGCACCCGTGACGAGAAACGCCCCTCGTGCTATCCCCACAGCTATCGAGAAGCCTACCCAGACGACAAGCCTCGGTACCGAGATTGCAAAGGCCACAGGAGAAGCTTCCGTGACGTCCGAACAAACTATTGCCGGAGACTCGAGCATGTCGGTTCCCACCTCGACATCTAGTTCCAGGCCATCCAGCAGCCAGACTGGCGATAGCCAGGACAGCGGTGGCCTCGGGGCAGGAGCTACCGCTGGCATCGTATTTGGTATTCTTGGTGGTATCCTTCTCATCAGTCTGGTCATCTACTTTGCCATCTCTCGCCGCCACACCAAGAAACGTGAGGAGGAAAACTCGGAAAAGTTGACACCCCTCGGTCCCGCACCGCCCACAAGGGATAATGCCCCACGCCTAAGCCTCCAGGCCTCCAGTCACTTCTTCCCTGCCGGCAGTGGCGCAAACAAGGCTGGCGTTGCCGGCACCTATGGGCGTAACTCGCCGTCCCAGGAGAGGCCTGGAACCAGGACGAGCAGCCACGAAGTCAACCCCTTCACAAACCAGGCTGAACGTGCCAGCTCGCCACCGACTCCGGACAGGAGCACTAAGCCCGGCCGCGAGACCTCCATGGGCCGCGCCTCGCCTTCAGACATGGACCTCACCCTTCCCGACTCACGACGCCCCCCGAGCCCTTCTGGTACCGTCTTCAGCGTGTCTTCTGTCGCGGCGGGATCTGCTGCAGCAGCCCCCAGCGCGGGAGCTGCTGCCATCGCCGCCGCCGGTGGCCCGGCCAATACAGCCGTCCACCGCGTTCAGCTCGACTTCAAGCCCAGCTTGTCCGATGAGATGGAGCTCAGGGCTGGCGACCTGGTCAGGCTGCTGCACGAGTACGACGACGGCTGGGCACTTTGCATCAGGCTTGATAGGTCTCGCCAAGGTGTCGTGCCGCGCACATGTCTGTCCACCCGTCCCGTGAAGCCTCGACCGCCTCAGGGTGTTGCTCATGGAACCCCTCCCGCCAACCCTCAGGGACAGCGATCTGGATCCTCAAGCAGGCCTAGCCCTTCCTCGTCTGGTGGTATGCGCTCTCAGTCTCCCACAGGAAGGCCGATAAGCCCCGCAGGCCGCCCTCGCGCTCCCAGCAAGGCCCACGGCCCTAGCCCCATGAACCCGGGCTTCAAACAGGATGTCCCACCGGGTATGGCCATGTAAACATCTTTGGTATTCACCTAGGGAGTTCGTTCACGGCTAGAACTTTGCGACTTGGGACTGCACAATCAGGCGTTACAAAAAAAAGAGATTGGTGGGGCTGCGGCATGGTCCAGGTACTAATAAACCGGGAACCCGGCCTTGGCTTGGCCATGGGCGGGACCCACACTCGAGGATGATAATTTCAGCCGCTCCTCTCGATATGAGCTCTGGCCAGCAATGGCTCTCATTTCCGTCTTCTTCATTACCTGCGAAAGGTACAGAGAGATGATACACTTTTTTTTCACTCACATTTCTTGTCTATATCTTGGTGTTTCCACTTTTTTTTTTTTTTTTTTTTTWYTTTTTTGGGCGAGCTCAGCGAGCGACAACAACATACTCCTCTTCTTTGTCTATTTTCCTCTACTGTTTTGTTTTTACCAATTGAGCCTGGATCGCCTGGCAGGCCAAAGTCATGTATGTGGATATCCAGGTCCATCATTATTCATACACAACCACAAGACGCTAGGCGCCTTTGTTTATTTGTCATTAAGAAAAGGATGAGGTTGGGCGGTGTTATGTCGTATATCATACAAATGTGACGAAGTGAACTGCGTAATTCTGTCCGCTATTTAATGTGTTTTATATATTTCAGTCGTGATGTGAAGAGAGATGTCGGATTGTCTCTTTGTCTCTTGTGTGTCTCACGACCTGACACGCAGGACAGTAGCCTTGAGGAGATCAGCGGCGAAATCTGCCTGTCGTCTGAGTAGAAGGTCCAGGTCATCAACGTCGACAAGGTGCTCGACGAAGCAGGCCCAGAAGTCGACGACGAGGTCACGCGCCTCGTCCCCGGAGGCTGTGTTGTCGTACAGGGCATCAGTCAGGACGACCAGGTCCCCGACGCGGGCGGGGTAAACAGTCATGACGAGCAGGGTGTCGTGCAGCCTGCGCAGGGATAGGCGGCGCAGCGGGTCGACGGCGTACCTGTCCGCGAGGATGTACACGTCGGCGTGGCTGAGGAGGACGGGGGCGTAGGATTCCTCGGGGCGGGTGTTGGGACGGGGGAGCCACAGTGTGTCTCCGCTGCCGCCGACGAGGCCGCCCGTCCTCTCGGGGAGGTGCAGGCGGTCAGGCATCCCGTCATCGTGCTGCTGCTGCTGCTGAAGACGCAGACCGTGGGCGTGGAACCGACGGGCAGCCTGTGCCAGCGCCGGCAGATCGTAGGTGGCTGCCGCGAGCGGGCCCTGGTAGGCGAGCATCTCGCTCCGACGGGCATCGTCGTCCAGGTAACTCTGCAGGTCGAAGGGGAGGGAGGTATACGGGCCGGCCTCGTCGAGAAGCGACAGGGGGTGGCGGTGGTGTCCTGCCCCCCCCGGTGCACGGCCATCTTGATCCCCTCCTCCATCTTCCTCGTCCGACGACGGCCAGCGTAGATTATCATCATCATCATCGTCGTCGTCGTCGTCGTCGTCGTCGTCACCCCTCGTGGAATCCGAGCCGAAATCCGAATCTGCGGTCACGACCTGTGATTCCGCCACTGCTGCTGTCCTCGATCGTCTGGCGGCCGTGGTGGTGTCGTTGCGATTGTCGTGGTCGCGGTCATGGTCGCGGTCATGGCCAGGTGAGAGCGGTGGTGACGGGAGAGGGACAGTCTCATGCTGCGCCTCCTGGTAGTCGCCATTGTACATGAAGGCCGTGAATCGCGTGAATGTGTCGACTTGGATGTCTGGCCACGACGCGCGACCCTGTATCGACTCCTTCATGCGGCCGTTGACCAGGGCGGACAGGACGGGCGACTGGCGAGCCACGAGGGACCGCGGCACGTGGAACGGGTGCGACGTCGGTCCTACCAGAAAGGTGAAGTTATCGTCGTCTGTTTCCATGGTCTTTATATCCTCCCCCCCCTCCTTTCTTTCTTTTCCTTTTTCTTTCCCTATTTTGATAGCATTGCCGGTTTCGTGCTGGGTAGTAGCCGGTTTGGGATGTGTATTACCTCTGGTTACTATATTATTATTACAGTAATATCATAATTTTTTTGGCGGGGCATGTGGTGTGGTGTCACTGGTGTGGTGGGGGTCGAGGAATGACGACAGACGCGGAGAATAAGGCTGGCTGTTTGATGATGCAGTAATAATAATATGCAATAACACATCAACACTCCCCCCAGATTTCAACTTTCATCACTTGTACACAATTTGGGACATCAAAAGCAAGGAGAGCATAACACCATAGTACTGGACCACCGCAAAGAAGAATGCTTCACGCATGATCAATAGACATGTCTAGGAATGCATGTGGAACGTTGCATGGTGATGCTTGTTCGACTCGAAACACGTCCTGAACGAGGTTGTCATATCTATCCAATATGAGTATGAGGTATGTACTCTCCCGACAACATCATGTCCCTGGCAACGGCAATGTCATCGAACCATCACAAAAACTTGGCCCCGCAACCCCCACACAGCTGCGCAGTAGGAGGCGGCATAGTCACACCGGGCCCGATATGCTCCGCCGCCAATCTCTGCAGTTCCGACTCCTTCAGACGACGACGTTGGCACACGGCACACACGCGCGATACCCCTGGTGCCAGGATGGGAAGGCCCGACGAGGAGCAGGTAGCTATACGCAACGCCCAGACGTTAGCCGTCATTTCTTCACCTCTGTATATAAAGGCGAGCCAAGTTGGAAGGCGAGGGGGGGGGGAGAGAATGACTGACCAAACGCGTGACCTCTCGAGCACCTAGCTTCGGTGCCACCCTCGAGATTATGCAGCTGGCCCTTGCAGAACGCACACGACAGCGTGGCTTTCAACGGGGCGAATATCTGTCTCAGCACATTCGAGCCGGTTTGCTCCTCCAGAACGGGTGCGATGTCCGACATCACCGTCGCACCGGGGACGTGACCCCCCGCGCCGTACATCCACTCCCACATCTTCGCCTCTGTAGAGAGGCTAGGGTCGTCGTTGATGACATCCTGGAGGGGAGGCGCCGCCGATCCCGCGAGACTGCTGGCTGTGCCGAATAGGAGCTTGCTGAAGGCCTGGCGCGCGGGCAGCTGTGTGCTGTACTTTGACACGAGCACGACGGTGGATCCGCCGCCCGGGGAGGCGGACATGCCCCAGATGCGGAAGCGGTGGGGGTGTACGGGGGGGCCGTGCCTTTCACCGTCGTCCTCGCCCATCTCCTCGTCTGTGTCTTCCGAGTCGGAGTCGGCACCTGGGACGAGGTCGAGGGCGTCGACGCGACCTGTCGTGCGCTGCACGGACTGGCGGATCCGGCCTACCCACGAGGGCACTGCCAGCGGTGATGTGTCACCCTCGTCCGGCACGGCGTTGGTCTCGAACCAGTCTTGGTCCATGGCTGTGGCGGATGCCCGGACGGCCGTGTATAGCGGGACGGGGCCTGGTGACGTCGTGCCCGGGGGAGGTCTGTGGACTATGACCCCTGCTATAGGGTTTGTGGCTGTGTTGCTATCGGGGTATGCCGTGGAGCAGTGTGAGGGTGCATGGTCCACGATAGGCGGTTGGCCGGGACCAAGGACGTCTACTTGGAAAGGCGCGATGGCAAAGGGTGTGCCGATGACGCCGCGGGCGATTCTCGAGCCGTCATCCCGGTTCCATATCTACACGTTGTTAGCGGCATGGAGGAGCAAAGACCAGATAGGAAGAGCTGCCCACCTTGTCTTCCCATTGCACGAAGGCATCAGTAGAGAGGTATAGACAGATTCCCGTGTTGTCTGACGCGTCAACGTTTATATCCGGGTCCTGGCCCTGCGACCATTCACCCTCGATGCGGACTCTCCTGAACCCGACGTAATTGTCGGCCACGTAGGCGAGACTGGCCGTTCTTGAACCGTCCGAGACGGCCCAGGGGCTCCATTGCAGGGAAAAGGCCGATGCCGTTGAGAAGTGGTCCGGGTCAAGGGAGTCCGCGGGCCGATGGGGTCCTAGGCCATCGAACCTGGCTAATTCCCGGACTTGCCAGGCAGCATCGCCTGCTCTAGCAAAGTACTGCACCCCCATGACCACCACGTTCCCCTCATCAGTAGCATAAGCGAGCAGGCCCATCCCGGGAGCCACCCTCCGCGCCCATGAAAAGGAGGTAACACGCTCATCCATGATCCTGTACGATCCATCGTGGTCCTCAGCAGGTATGGGCATCCCCGCACCGAGGCCCCACAGGATTCTCCAAAGGCGAGTCCCCGTGCTGCGGGTGGCTGTCTGAAAGGAGGATGAGTCGTCGCCGTGCGCCCCGAGGGCCAGCAGCTCGCCGTTGGTGGTCATAGCCAGCAGGATGGGTCTCAGGTTAGCCCCAAGACCGTTGGGCGCCCATTCCACCCGTATGACCTGAGATACAGAAGATGCGCGGCCCGTCACACGCCGCGCATCGGAGGGAGGGGGCATGGTGCTCGTGTATGATGTGCCGCCGGCGTCGCTGCCTTCCTCCCCCGGGAAGGAGGGAGGCGGTAGCTTTACGCCTACCGAAGCGCAGAGGCGCGCGTTGACGGACGGGTTGGGTAAGAAGATGCCGGCTACGTGGATGGACAGAGAGAATTGGTGCTGCTGCTGGGCTGCCGCGGCAGCTGCTTTGGCAGCGACGACATCCTGAGACGGGGGTCCGGTGTTGGCGTTACCCCTGGCTTCCTCGTCGCCCTGTGGCGACGGCCTTGGGTATTCGGGGAAGAATATGTGTATGGTGTCGTCTGTTGCTACGGCCAGCTCGCCGTCGCATGACCACGATGTGGAGTGGCATGTTAGAGGGCGTGAGCGCAGGGACAGAGTCTTGAGTGGTCTGATCTGTTGGGCGGAGGAGTGTTAGCAAATCTTATCATGAATCTCCAAGTCTCGTCTGAAAAAGTGAGTGGGAGACAGATGCACAGAGTAGATACAGTATTTCCGTATCGCGTGGGTTGTTGATCTCACCTGAGAGCGATGCATCTTGAGATGGTGATAACCAAGAAAAAAAGAGATGCAAGAGAAAGAAGAAGAAAAGGAAGAAGGCTGGATGATAGCCAATTGACGTGGCCAAAACTTCAGGCTAACATGATGACTTCTTCACCAAGCCGCTTCTGTATGATGAGGGGTTCACGACTTGGAGAGCGCATATCAGAGTCTGAGAGTAGGATGTTATGATGTGAAAAAAGCGAGTGAGTGAGTGTGGCTATGACGATGATGGTTCTTCCTCCATTTGGGTGTACGACTGCTGACTAAGATGATTTTCTGCGTCATGGCGCCAAACAGAAGTGTCCAGGAACGACAAACCGGTGGTAATCTTTATCTACTATTATATACAGGTACTGGCAGGGGATCAGAAGAAGTAGAGAGAATTCGTGGCTCATTCAATGCTTCAAGTCGTGATAGAAAACGAAACAAAAAAGAGGGGTACAGTCGCCCATCTATTCCATCAATGATCCAAGACCCCAGAGAGCGACACATCCGACAAGAGCCGTGGCACCAATGGCCTTTCTGGTCCACCAGCTATCGTCGGTGAGGGAAGTAGCACCCTTCATCTTGTTGTTGGGAGATGACGCGGTCGGGACAGCACCAGCAGGAACACTGGCAGTAGTGTTTCCCTTACCACCCTTGGCGGCAGCGGCAGCGGCAGCCTTGTCCAGCTTGCCCTGCTCCTCCTCGTCAGCGCGCTTCTGCAGGACGGCGATGGTCTTGCTAAGCTCGAGGAGCTCCTCATCGAACTGAGCGTCGCCGGTGCGGTCGACCTCGACATTTTGGATGTTGCCAAAGAAGTCGGTGATAAGGCGGGAGCGGGCGGTGTCGGCGCCGCCGGGGAACAGGTCGTAGCGCATGCCGGGGTTGGAGTGGATCTTGGCGATGTCGTAGCTGTCGAACAGGTTGCCAATCGTCTCTTGGCTGTTGATGTCGCGGACCTGGGACTCGAGGAACTCGAGGTTGTAGTAGGTGAAGCGGTCGATGACGGCGACGCCGACGTCGTTGTCGGCGTGGTGTGAGTAGGACGACTGGTCGAGCTCCGAGGACCCGGTGGCGATGATGTTGGGGGAATAGAGCCTGCTGAACATTGTGTTGGCCTGGCAGGTGTCGATCATGAAGAGGATCTCGTGGTATCTGCAGAGTGCTCGGGTTAGACGTAATGGGCGCCATGTGTGGATAGAGGGTGCATGCGATACGGGCTTGTATATCCATATATCCGGGTGCGTATGCGACGTACCTCTTCTTCTCCCACATCTGCTCGAACGCATCAGCCAGATCCCAAGCGCCAATCTCTTCGGCATCCTGGAACTTGAGAAACTCGTTGCCGCCGTGGCCAGTCATGTAGATGAGGATATTGCTCCTGTCGTCGGTGAGCAGCCTCTTGCTCCGCGGCATATCGGGACCGACACGGTCTGTCAGGAGGCGGATAAAGTTCTCGACCGTCACCTCGTATCCGCGGTAGTCGACCTCGATGTTGTCGCCGTACAGGTCGACGGCGCGGTCCGAGTTGCTGTACACGGTGCCGGGGAACGAGTTGCGCGGGTTACAGGCCATATCGTCGGGCAGCATGAGGATGATCTGTGAGTCGGGAATTCCCAGTCGCTTGACAGTCCGGTACATGGCCAGCACGTTGGACATGTGGCGATAGTTGAACCAGAAGCGCGACGTCCCGACGAGGACAGCCCAGTTGCTCGTGTGTTCGGCTGCGACGGGTACGGCGACCAGGGCGAGCACCAGGGCTGCCAGCATTGCCAGCGAGGCCATGGGTCGGCGGACGCTCGTAAGCATCGTGGGTGTCTGGTCGTTTGTCTCTTCTTCTTCTTCTTTCCTTTTCGCTATGCGATCTGCTGTTCCTCCGCGACGGCGAAAAAAGGGCGTTAAAAAGGGGTGGGGGTTCGGTCTCGTTTCAGACCCAAGGAGACAGGTCGCACGGACCAGGGGCAGTCGGAAATGTAGACGGTGATGATGTTGCTCGATCTGCCCGCGGGCGGGACGCGGTCGGGACGCGGTCAGGGAAAAGAGAGAGAGGCTGTCAGTATACGGAAGTTGAGTGTCGGACGTGACGTCCCTTTCCCGACACGAAGCTTACAAATGATGTGGGGGGGCACGGGTCTTCCTAAAAAGGGGAGCGGAGTGTGGGAGAGAGAGTCTTGACTCTTGAGTGTCAAAAACAGGCGCAGCCAAGAGGCAGCCAAGACAACGTATGCAACTAACCATAGCTACTAGATTGCAGTATTATTTCTGCTACACAGATTACATGTGCTGTGGCGAAGGAGATCCTCAACCGAGGACGAAGATGAACGAGAAAGATGCATAGCCAACAACTCACTTGTATGGGACGTAATACCCCGTACATGTATGATAGGAAGCATTGCTACGTGCGACCGCGTAATTCGGCATATGCCACTGATCTGCGGCGGCGTCACTGTGGGGTAATAATAATACAGTATACTACAGTAATACTACAGTATACTACAGTAATACTACTACATGTCCGTGACGAATGCTAGATGCTGCCGCCGAGAAGAATTGGTCCGCGCGTCAGCGTAGATGGAGCGTTGGCAAGTACTACTACTAGCTAGTATGATACAAGTACGGAGTACAGTGATTGTTGGACTTTGGTATATCTGTACTACCAGCCGTACAAGTTCAAATACCGTACGATCATACAGTCTTGGGGCAGCCAACATGATCCTGTCTCGTGGTTTGTTGGGATACGCGAAGAAAGAACAAGAGAGAGGGAGGGAGGGGGAGGGGGAGGGGGAGGGGGGCGAAATCGTATGGATCGGATCGGTGATGGCCTCATTCCGGCATGTGCGGTGCGGGGAGGCGCAGCGGTGGTAGAAGCCGCCAGCAGAAGCCGCCAGTGTAGCCAAACGCCCAGCTCCGTATATCGGCGGCGGCTTGGAAGGGAATGGCCCCGTGTTGCCGTCATGTTGCCATTTCTGGCCAAGACCGAGTGTGTGGGCTGTTTCCGAGGTTTACGGCGAGCCGAGCAAGGAGACTTGAGTGTAGGGAAGCAAGGCCGGCACATGGATTGATTCAGAGCCTTTCCCCCTCCTTTTTTTCCCCTCCTTTTTGTAGCATCCCTATAATGCTGATACCATTACCGTCTACTGCTGCTAGTATGATTCATACTACCAATACAGCACCTGATACAAAGTAAGCTTCGATGTAATAATAATACGGAGTAGGGGCCCCAAGCAATACACGTCACTGTCGCCGTAATGTTGCTACTTATGGGGGGGGGCCCTGGCAATTGTGGTCTAGGCGCGTTGACCATATGTTTCGTTTGTTCCATCATCAGAGATCATGATGAAAGATGAAAGATGACTGTCTTGCAATGCAGATGATTGTACATAGTATACTATCCCTATTAATAGGGGGTAATGTCATATGCATAACTGCGTGTATAGGCGAGATGGATAGCAGGTGGAAGAGGGACAGGCAACAACAGTGACTTTTTTTTTTCCCGGGTCTCAGTCACTCGCGACTGCCGTGCCTGACATGTGCTTGACACGGGCGGAAGGCGCGTCTGTCATGCGCCTTCCGAAGCACGAGTAATGAATGGATGGGCCAGAATGCTACGTCTACGATTGCCATCATTCATACAAATACCAACAAAGGCCTAGAGTATACCTCCTTTTTCCCTACTACAACTCGTACGACTTCAGGCTTCTCCCCATCGGTCATCACTCATCATTCGTCACCCTCATCAACAAAAACCCTTCATCCTTTGCGGCCCATTCTCATTAGTATCAGTTATTAGCTGGCTAGTATCCTGTCAGCTGCGACTATACGCCCCTCTTCGTTTTTCTTGGCCAGTCTCCGCCCCTGACTGCCTCTGCCTCTGTCGGCGACTGTTTTTAAATAACCGCATATTAAATTCCCAGGCAAAATCATATCTCATCTGAGCCCTCAATCTTCCAAAAATATATATACTCTTTACCACCGCTGTTTCCCGCTGTTATTATTGCATATCCAGCTTTACCAGGGCCTCCCCCATCCCCCCCCCCCCCCCCCCGGCTTTCGTCCCCGCCTCTCTCCTCGCTCTTGTCTCACGTCAAAGCAACGGCCAACTTTCAGGAGACCCCTGCACCAAAACGCGAGAAATCTCCCCCCACCACCCGTCGACCCCACCGACGACGGCGACGACAACAAACTTCTTGATCTCGACAGCTTCATCATCAACTCTTCCTATTCTACGGTCCCTGCACCGTCCAAGCCTGAAAAACGAAAAGAAGTAAGAATAGAAGAGGGCCGCCAGCGACCATCATGTCCGGCTTGCCCTCTCACATCTTTGTTGTGAGGTTCGTATCTGTGCTCCCCTAACACCGAGAACAGAAACACCCCGCTACGGCCCCTCGGTGTTTGCCTCCTCACTCTCTTACTTTCCGCTGACACTCTGCACGCCTCGCAGACATGGAAGCCGCCTCGACGCTGCCGACAACCAGTGGCACCTCTCATCGCCCACTCCCTATGACCCTCCTCTGACCTACGGCGGCTGGCTCCAGGCCAGACAGGTCGGTGCCCAGATCCGCAACTATCTCGAGCAGGCCAAGCTCGACGAGGCACCCCGTGCCGCGCCATCCAAACCGCCCTCCACTCCTCCCCCAGAGCTCAGAAAGAAGCGCTTCCGTGTCGTCATACACAGCTCGCCCTTCTTGCGATGCGTCCAGACCTCGGTCGGCATCAGTGCTGGCCTGGCGCAATTGGTCCCCGATTCCCCCTTCGCTCCCGCTGACCTGATCGTCCCTGCTCCTCGCCTCCCGGGGAGGCCTGAGACCAGCTTCCGCTCCTCCATTCTCCGCCTGGACTCGTACCTCGGCGAGTGGCTCTCTCCCAACTACTTCGAGAACATCACGCCACCTCCCAGCTCTTCTCTCATGCTCGGTACAGCCAAGGCCGACCTCCTCAGGCGCGAGGACTACAGCAGCTACACAGATTCCTCGTCTTCCGCGGTGCAGACGCAGGCGCGGAAGGGCTCGCTCTGGAATTCCTCATCTGCTGTGGACCTTGACGCATCCCCCTCAGACTATCCTGCCCAGACGGACGACAAGAAGAACAGGGGATATTTCCCTCCCCGGCCGACGTTTTCCGTCTCAACTGGCGGGAAGATCCCAGAGGGCTTCGTGGCTCACGCGCGAGACCACTGTGTATCTGTCGACTACCAGTGGGACTCGATGCGCGGGCCCCTGCACTGCGGAGATGGCGGTACCCTCGGCGAGGAGTGGACATCGATGCACTACCGCTTCCGCCGTGGTGTTACGAAGATGCTGAACTGGTACGCTACCACTGACTCGCCCGAGCAGATGGTGACCAGCCCCGCTAGTCGTGCGAAGCTGGGGAATCAGGGGCGGGACAATGACGAGGAGGGCGAGGTTGTTGAGACGGTTGTTGTTATCGTGTCCCACGGTGCTGGTTGCAACGCTCTCATCGGGGCCATTACTCACCAGCCCGTTTTGATGGACGTGGGCATTGCCTCCATCACCATGGCAGTTCGCAAGCCCAACCTAGACTACACCCAACTCCTCAGCGATGCTCAAGCCCGGGAGGAAAAGCGATACCCGGGTAAAGGGGGGTCGGCTCTCGTCCCAGTGCACGAGTTGTACGACATACGCCTCTCTGCGAGCACGGAACACCTTAGGAATAACTCTTCGACTCCCGTGTCATCGCCTTCTTTCAGCAACAACGTCTGGAACAACGCTCCGCGGCCGCGCACGTCAACCATAGGGAGCCCCGGGACGCCACTCAACCTCGGGGGCCCCAGCCTCAGTGCCTTTGTCTACTCGGACTCACCGGGCAACCGCAGCTCGCCGACAACCAGCACTTTCACGTCGGGAGCGCCTACACGACGAGACCCCCCCTTGCCACGCAAGGTGTCTCGCCCATCTGTCTTGACATTTGGCGGAGGTCCCAGCCCAGCCACCAGTAGTGAATATCTGGCAGGAGGCCCCTCCCCCACGCTGACCTCTCCAGCAACGGGCCTCTGGTCGCCGGCCCCCTCATCGCTCCGGTTCATGGACGACGCTATCGACAACAACGATGGCGGCGACGATGACGACAGCTTCCCCGACTTCGATCACAAGCGGTTCAAGAGCCCGACCCTGTCGCAGACGCCACGTGGCGACGCAGCAGAGGCTCCCTACTCTTTCACGAAGTCGACTTCCGGTCCAGTATTGGCAGGTCCAATCAAGCTGCAGACGAACTGGGACAATGGCAGGGTCCCCGAAGAGGTGACGGTGCCCAAGACGGAAGCAGGGCTATGGGGTCAGCCTACTAGGTCACTGGAGGAGCTAGACCCCATGGTTCATGACGGGGGGCATATCAAGCGGAGGTGGACCGTGACCGACACCCCCAGGTGATGATGGGGTGGGCGTTTGGGTAAAGAGAGTCGGTCCACGTTGTGCACGTCAACTTTCATGGTTTTTCGAACGGAGGAGGTGGCAGTTTGCGTATTCAAGTCGGTGCTTCCGCTTTGGCGGTATTTCGATTTCGATTCATATGATATCCCCCACCCCACCCTGAAAAGCGTCTTTTTTCTTTCTTCTTCTTTCAATTGTTTATATCCTCCTCTCTCGTTCCATGGCTATGAGCGCGGGACTTATGGCGAACAAGGTAGAATGAATGTGTGCTGTTTTGTTTTATCCACCTTTCCTATATAGCGTTTTAATCGATGGATGCTCCTTCTCTTTTGATTTTTATTTTGATTTATTTTGTTCTAAGGTTTTTTTTTGGGTTGAGGATATTAGTAAAGAATGAATGTTCTTGTCATCAATCAGGATACGCCCCTTGTCCCTTGTGTGAATGCGTCGTGTATGAAGAAAAGTGCGAGCATAAAATTGTAACGTTCCTAAAATTCCAGTCACAGGATGTAATCTTTCTATAGGACAAGTTGTAATCTGTAGCGCATTGACGAGTAACAAGTCGGTAACAGCAAATCGAATCATGAATATATACAAAGGGAGACAGGCTGACACATGCTCGGACGAGTGACACAGAATCAGAGACGATTCAGCTGAGGACCAGGATCACTCCAGCTTGCCAAACGACTTGTTCATGGCAGAGTGAGCCAGCTCGACGCCCAAGAAGGTGGCGGCATTGGCCGGGACGGCCCGGGCGAGGGCGGGACCGAAGCCGGGGAAGAAGGCGCGCACGCCGCCCTTGGCGTAGAGCTCCCTGACGACGGCGGAGAGGGAGACGTTGCCCTCTGCCGTCTGCAGGCGGGACTTGACGGTGTCGACGGGGAAGACGGGGACCCACATGGCCACGCCGGCGGCGGCTCCGGCGCAGGTGATGGCGGTGAGGCTGAGCTCTCCGGTGGGCCTGCCGGTGACGGGGTCGCGCGGGCTCATCTCGCGCTTGATGTACTCGTAGGCGGCGAAGTAGGCGGCCGAGCCGGGGCCGTCGCGGGCGAGGGTGGGGACGCTGCCGCGGAAGACGCTGCGCAGCCCGCCCTGGCGGTAGAGCTGGCGGGCCACGTCGAGAGCGCCGGTGTACTTGGGCTTGTCGCCGGGCGCGAGCTTCTTCTGGTCCTGGACCTGGAGGATGACCTTGATGCGCTCGAAGGGGGCGGTGATGGCCGTCATGGGGATGGCGGAGATGAAGCCGGCCGCCGATGTCTGGGCTATGGAGAGTCCCTCGGGTCCGACCTTTGACGAGCCGGTGACGATCTGCTTGCCTAAATCGTAACCCCAGAATGAGACGGCGACTTTATTTCGGACGGTGATGATGAAGGAATCTCCCGTGGTCAGCTTTGCAGAGTGACAGGAGAGAGAGAGAGAAGAGGGGAGGGGAGGGACAGACACATTGGCGTGACACCCATCAAGGGAGCACTCACGCCGGCGTAGAGGCCGCGTCGGAGACCGTCACGCGCGACGCTCTTCCTGACCACGTCCACGGCGGAAGAGTACAGGCCCCTCTCGGCCGTCTGGAGACGGACCTTGACGAGGTCGAACGGATGCCCGACAACGACGGCGCACACGCCGCCGAACCCTCCCGCCGCCAGGGCGCGCAGCTGTGATGCCAGCGCCTTCTTTGCGTCTTCCTTTGACGGGGGTACCGGGAAGCTTTCCGTCACGGCTTCGGTCGTGGCCGTTGAGGAGGTTGATGTCGGCATTGCTGTGGCTGTCTTGTTCCTTCTTCTTCTTCTTCTATTCTCTCTCTCTTTCTTTTCTTTTTACTTTTTTCTTTCTTTTATATATCTTTCTCTCTCTCTTCCTTCTTTCCTTTGTCTTCTTCTTCGCTCTCAGTGTCTGTCTCGTTTCAGTCTAGTATATTAGCAGTTGTGCAGAGTTGGAGGGAGAGGGGAAGAGGGAGGAGGGGGCGAACGTCTCTTGCGCTGAACTGAATCGATGAGTTGGAAGGACAAAGGAGACTGGGCTCGGCCGGACGGAGGATGATGGAACCTCGCCAAGAAAAGAGAGATGGGGAAAATAGGCCGCGTGGGGGTTGGGGTTGGGGTTGGGGACAGACGTGTTTTTCTACCCCAGAATACAGATTTCCCCGGATTGACGGATCAAGCGGGGGTTTTCTTTTTCGTATTAATTAGTCTTGGGAGGTTTTTTTTCCCCCCCTTTCCCTTTCCTTCTTGTCTTCTTTTTTTGTCTTTTCGTATCGTCGTCTTCTCTTCAATGTTTAGACTGTGTTTCTTTAATCCTTATTTGGTGTGGTGTGGCAGGAGGAAGAAGCGCTGTGTAAGCAGACAGGCTACGTCACACTGAACGGAGCCTGAACCGGACAGATGGGCGAGGTTGAAGGGAAGAAGGAAGGGTGGGCAAGAATAAGAGTAAAAGTAAGAATAAAAACACCCGAGGTTGAAAGTAATACGAGAATTGGAGAAGGAGGGGGAAAGGAAATCAGGAAAGAAGAAGGAGAGTTAAAAGAGAGAAGAAGAAAAGAAAGATTCTCCAAATTCCCCCCCTCCCCTTCGGTATCATTACCATCACCCTCTCCCACGCACGCACACGCACGACCGCAGCCGAAGCCGAGGCTCCTCGAATCGTTTCAGTGGGGAACGTCGGGATGGCC